TCTTACATTTTATATGAAGGTTTCATCAAATGTTTGTGAGTGCTAAGTTTTGTGGTATATAGTTTATCAAAAATAATAAAACCACATTACTTTTCACAATGATCTGCCAAGGTATCCCTTATGTAAACTCAAATGTAGGTTTCCATTTATCATTAAAACGGTGTACTCCTTTCTAAGCAGCAGAAATCATAACATGGGTTCATCAGTTCAGGAAACAGGTGGTCATGACTTGAGCAAAGATGATAACTCAACATGCAATCAGCCTACTAATTAGTAAGATAAGCTAGTAGATGTTTGGACTTTAAAGTGAACTATACACAAACCAGAAGAGCTCTTGATTAATTAATCCCTCACACAATAGTCATTTCCACACTCTCTCTCGTTGTACTTGCTATTTCAGTTAAATCAGAAAAGGAGAAAGACATCAAAGAATTTTCTTGCCAAATACTTGTGCAGCTCACCTAAAATGCATAAGAACAACTCTGTTATGATTCCAAAACCACTAGAGATAAATTGATACGGGCATACATTTTTAAACTCATGACTCTTTCCTGCTCAGTGTATAGAAATGGCAGTGTTAGAAACTGAGATATTAAAGCTAGGAGCTAAATGGCACCTTAAACAACAGAATATTTAGGTGCACATTTTTATAAGAAGAATACAATTAATTACAGCTAAAATATTATGTTCATTTTTCACATGGTCCAGTCCTTCTCCTGCCCACCCCCTAATATTCTTAAGAGGGTCTCTTCTCCAGTCTTCAGAGGGTAGCTGGAAATGGGGAGGCAGAAAAAGGTCCTCCTTTCCTTCCACTGCAGTTTTACTCTGAAATCTTAGGCACAGTACTGCACCCAGAGCTCAGAAACTGCTTGCCCTAATGAATTTCCCTGTCGCAAAATGTGCCTAGAACAATGGGAGTTTCAAACACTGAGAAAGGGATGGGTTGTAACAGGAATACAACCTACAGAAGGAGTGCATTACACCAAATAATACCTGACTTTTTTAAAAAAAAGGTTGTGGACATCTAATCAGCGGCAAACCTGAAAAACGCCGGAGATTTATATGCTGAACAAGAACACAGCAATGCATTCTTGCTAGCAATGCATTCTTGCTTGTAACTGACTAGCAAGTTTGAGGTTGAATACAAAGGTTTATTTGGAAAGTAACATGTGCATCATTTCCCAACGCAGAACTGCAGAGATGGGGAAAAATGCATCTGATGCACTTCTGCCAGTCATACAGCTTTTAATGATATGGAGGGGGCTACGGGGAGGGAGCTGCAGGGAGGGGAAGCAGTGAGTCAGCAATTAATGGTTGTAAAGTAATAAATAAATAACAACAGCAACACATTTTTATTTGTACCCCATAATCATAACAATAATAATAAATTATTTGTACCCCGGCCGGAGCCGGGCTCAGAGTGGCTAACATCATATAAGTAATACAATATGCTCGATTACTCGAACTTTTCATTGCACTTGAACCAGCAAGAGAACAAACTAAGCCACTACTCAGCAACTTCAAAAACAAACAAACAAATAGGGACCCTATTTTGAACAGAAGGAACACTTGAGGGCCAGCAACATAGGCTGTCCAGGTCCACTCATAGGGGAGCCAAGATACAAAATAGCTCTGAGGCAGTGACTCCAATTGGACTTGAGTTCAGATGTCCACAAACTACCTAGAAACCAGCAGATGATGGATATAGGGAAGAGTGATGAGTCTTTTTAAGAAGCTTTTGAAAGCAAGCCATCAGCTCATCTGCCACTGCCAGCCTGCTACCACATCAGCCTCGGAGTTCACACATCAAATGCCCCTGAAAATTCGTCATTCCCATTGCCAGGGGGACTGCATGTGAAAAAATGGCTGACCCCCCAGGGCTTATAGGCAATGCCTTTCTGTTTTCTGCATGATAACCATGGAAGCAGACACTAGTTTCCCAGGAGCACTTGAGGTTTTAAATTTCACTGTGTACAGTGTGACAGCCCCAAGCAATAGCAGCCAAGCTGTCAGACCCATGGCTCTCCTGGCTGCTTCCCAGCATGAGCACGTAGGCAATGACACACATCTGTTTTGCTAGAAAACAAAAATTGTGGAAGTAAGGCCTCCAGTTCCAATGGCTTTGAGGAAACATTCAGAGGGAAAACATTCCAGACTAATATAAGCAAAGTCATAGTTTGGACATGATACTGCTGTGAAACCCATGAAAAATAACTTTTTATCCCATTATTTTAGAAATGCATAGGCATTAAAGACTCTACCCCAATGCTGCTAATTGAAATGCTGTGGTTTTTATACAGCAGATGTGTTTTGCTTAGTGGTTTCTAGGATCACCGCGTAGAATTCAGTGGTGTTCGCTGTTTCGTGGCTAAGTGATGTTGATACAATGCACTCAAATCTCCACATCAATAGCACTATATAGTGGTTGTTCTCCAAGGCCTAATAGCAAAAAATGCTGTATTTTGTATTTTTAAGTTGGCTCAACATAAACTGCTAATCCACTCACAAAGGGTGACAAAATGAGGACCTGATTATTTTGAACAAGGCCTGTGACACTGTGCCACAACACATTTTGCAAAGATTTCAATGAACAAAGAAAAATGTCAGCAAAGTATCATTGACTTAAAGTAGCTATTAAATGTGGCCACCTGCTGATGTGAGGGTGTTGGTTGCAAACATTTGCAGATGCAATTGGGTCTCATTGACCCCAAAAGCAGGATTAGCAAACTTTCCACAGTGTGTTGTTGTTGTTGCTTAGTCGTGTCCGACTCTTCGTGACCCCATGGACCAGAGCACGCCAGGCACTCCTGTCTTCCACTGTAGGTATGATGAAAAAACACAGTCTTGCTTAGTAACAAGGAAGGTTTCAACAGGGACAAAATGTTCACCCAATTCAGATCCATACAGGGTTTTCTTTTTTCTTTGTTGTAAATCTGGGGAATACTATTGATCCTTGATGCTGCTTGTGGTATTGTTGAAGGAGGTATAAGGTATTAGAATAATACACAAAACATTAGTTTTTCACCCTCTATATGCCTTTCTCGCAGGAAAGGGACATAACAAACAGACAAATAACAAACAATTTTAAACAGAATCTTGCAAGGTCAATTTATGGTTTTTCAGTTCTCTCAGTCATTCCAACTGGGGATAGAATTGAGTCCAAAGACCATAAGAGCAACAAATAATAATTTGTCACAAAATTAAGGAACTGGGGGGTGGGGGTGTTGTGAGTTACCACACTGCAATTCACACCTCATCATGGAGGTGCTGTGAAACATGGGAATTGTGGAAGACTGACACGCACAAAATTTCCCCTATTTAAAAAGATACCAAGAGCATGCTCCTGAGATCCAACCATCTCTCACTTCCAACAGTTAGGGCAAAGAATATTGACAGGAAGGTCAGAAAATAGCAGCTTCTAGAGCTCTATTTTTATCCTGTCATTTATATCCAAGTGCCTACTGCGAATCTACTCAAAAGGATTCATGCATGAAAAGAAACCCAACCAAAGGCTGCATCCAGACTATGGCTTTATGAAACACATACCTAATCCCTGGCAAGTCAGCTGTGATGCTTACATGAATATATAATGGTGACTATGTAGATATGGGGGTCAATAGACAGAGAGCACTGCTTTTTCACTCAGACAATTTTCTGAACCTTCACACAAGTATATATCTTGTTTATGCAGGAGAATGAAAACAAAACCATGTGCTCTTTTTTTAAGTGGTGGTTTTTTAAAAAATGTGAAAAAGGCACATCATCAAGTTTATAAATAGGCAAAATCAATCTCAGCACTTAAATTATTCCTGGAATGTGCTGGAAGAACTATCCTTATTTCAAAAGTCAAGGTAAATTATGGATTAGTATTTTGAAAACAATAGTAAATGAGACTAAGGCAAATCAGTCCCTTTGAATTTACTTCCGTGTGCATATATCTAAGATAATGTTGTAAATAATAGATCCAATTTTAATTTTGTGAATGTGGATGTAAGCATTCCAGTACTGTATCATGTTTGCTTTCTAGCCGAATAATGTGCTAAAGCACAACAAGAAAGCAAGTGCAGTCATAACACTGAAGAGCAAACTGTCCTAATTGGTTTCATCAAGGCCAGTATCAGCACTAGGCATCCTTAGACAGATGTCAGAGTCCCAGCACTGCCCATCAGTTAGACCGGATGGCCTGCCACACCAAGCAGTACTGCATGGATAGGTCTAGCCACCATTTTAATTTTCACAATGCTCTCGGTGTAGCATTGTCAAAGGTACACCTGAAATGGCACAAGCTGAAATAATCCCAAGATTCTGCACCACCACCAGGAAAGCTTGCATGCATCCAACAGCAGAAGAGATGGCCCACCACTTTGTCCACAGCCCCCTAAACATTTGGAGCGGCACTAAATCTCAATAATATAACACAAGAAAAGGAATATTGAACTTCTGTTAAGTAGAAATAAATGGAAATAAAAACCATGTTATGCAAAAACATGTGAAACATCTTTGTGCTGTGGAAGGAAGGCTGTCTAATGAAGTGTTGCTAACTTTACAATATCACAATGAAAATTGCAGCAGGTAAAGGCATACACACACACTATACTTTATTGATTAAGCCTACATGCTTCTTCAAAGCGCTAAACAATGAAAAACAAACATGCAATAGTTTAATCTATTTCAATACTAACTAAACCACCGCTGTTCACTGCCCACCATCATTCACTGTAATAATCCACTGCGACTGCTATGTATTTTCCATTGTTTGTCCCCTTGAAATTTTAAGCTGGATAAACAGCGACAGTTTAATTTCCATGTGGACAACCAGATACTTCTGCATAGTACAACATACCACCTTCAATACCTTCAATACTTTTTGGGAAAAAAATGTCTAAGCTTAGTGGACGGAAACCAAAAGAAGTAGCTCATCTGTTGGTTAATAAAGAGGGGCAGAACTGATTCCAAAATAAGTATATTCAGCAAGAGTCCAAAAGAGAGAGACACACCCACACACCCACACCCATATATATATATATATATATATATATATATATATATATATATATATATATGAGAGTGGAGGTAGGGCCTGAGGTATAAAAAGGAGAGACACAAAATTGAGATTGATTATTACTAACAACATCCTGGCAGCTAGATGGAAGTCATATTCCCTGAGGCTTTTATAACTAGACAAGACACAGCACCAGAAAATGTACTGTAGGGGAAATAAAAAGTCTTGCATCAACAGCAAAGACATATTGGATTATCGGATTGGTTTTGCCTATTTTTGGACTGCTTTAAATCTACAATAAGCTCTAAAAGGAAAATTATGGTATTTCATGGATTCCTAGACAGAAACATCAGTATGTCAGCATGATTGATGTGGTAGATTCTGTCAGTCAATAAAGTCTCAGTGGCAAACTAGTAAACATCTAGAAATCATATGCTCTAAATAATTTAACACTGGTTTAGTAGATCTGCCCTAATCTACATCAAAAGGAAAAGCCTACTTCTAATGGAATTTAAACAGGTTGCAGCATATAGATGAACTGTGAAAGCAACACATTTCAGGCATATGCGAGTGGGATTTCAAAGATAGGCATGACAAGGAAGAAAGACATAAGGACAACACAGCCTGGTGCAGTTACAAAAATAGGAGATTTTATCCAATTGGTACATTGTCTCAGCTCACACATAATGCCAACCTAAACTGTGGTCTAACGTAAATTAGCAATTGTTGTTGTTGTTTAGTCGTTTAGTCGTGTCCGACTCTTCGTGACCCCATGGGCCAGAGAACGCCAGCCATTAGCAAGTGTACTGGTGCACATTTACAATAATAAGCATACATAAATCATATGTTACAAACCGATAATAAAGACACCTGTGAAAGAGCCCATCAATTATAAAAATTAAAATTTATATGGTTTTCACTACAAAAGGTAATTGCCTCAGCTACATATTGTAGCTACATTATCAGCCACATATTGAATACATGTTGTGTTTAGTGCTCCGGCAATCCTATACTGGTGTGTAGTCTCTTCAGGTCTCCCAACTAATATCTTTATCAATCCATTTTGTACAAATGACAAAGGACAGAAAAGCTTATGACAGTTTCTCAAAGAATGTTACACCATAGTTTAATTACAAACACGGGGAACTCTGGCTAGTATAAACTATGTGTTGTGCCAACATGCTACACTTGTTTGCTCAAAGCATAGCCAGGGTTTTCCCAGTTCAGATAGAAGCAGATGCTTCTTATCTCACCCTTGTTACCATGAAAGTCTGCAGATCACTGCTGCTCATGTATATATGTCAATAAACTATAGTGTATCAATGTACCAAATGATACATCAATATCTAAGGTTCCACAGCACTTTTTATGCAAAAAATCATAAGCTTTCTGCATATATGTTATTTAGATTTTGCATTAATGACGCCACCTAGCCTATAAAATCAGAAAACTAATATTGAATCAGATAAGCATACAAGTCATCACAATCACATCTCTATGCAAAAATATATTGAGAAGCTTTGAGTATTTAACTTAGATATTCAACTGAAGCTTGAAGAATATTACATCTGTAACTTAATTTGCTGAACAAGCCAACTGACAGAAAGCATTTTTAAAAAACCTAAGCTATAGGGTAAACTTTGATAAAAAAAACATTACTTCGTCATCACTTTCTAATTTAGGCCCATAATATAGCTTGTTACATCAAAATTAACAAGCCACAAAAACATGTGACTCATGTTCAGAAGTATATGTAATATCTCAGCCTTGTAGAATGACATGTAAACAAGTGTGAAAGTTCTGTCCGATAAGCTTGCATGCTGCTTCAAGAGACAATATGGATTAATAAAAGTCCTTGCTATTAATGCGACATGGACTAAACAAGAAACCTTTAGGGCTGCAGCAACTATCCTCTGTTAATGCTGTATGAAGTTTTACTCTATTTTCACTTCACACCATAATTGTTTGTCCCACAACCAAAAGTAAACTGGGTCATATATTTCACGTACACTAGAGGATGAGAGAGAGAGATTATTAAAGAATCGTAGAAAGCCACTTAACTACTCAATAACAGTTTTAAAATAAAAAAGAATTCATACAAGAGCAAAATGCATGCAAAAGACTTTTAACATGAAATTAAGAGCAACCGTTACACATCCCCTCTAAAAAAAACTTCATTATTACTGAAAACTGGATAGAGCATTGATTTGGATGTGGAACTCCAAGTATAAACCTCTACTTACATTAAGCAGGTGAGGTTCAAGGCAATCTCACTAAACAACTAGTCTTTCTTAATGCTTTAAAGAAAGGTGGATTTCACCAGACTTTTTAAGTACATGTTTGAGACCTATTTCAATCTCATACAGCTCATGCCACCCCCCACCCCAAACCACATGCAGCTCAACAACCAGGTATTATTGCTTAGAAAGTACGCTGGTCTGTTTGTTGATCAAGCACACAACAGGCCACAATACAATACAGGAACAAAGGAATACCATGCTGTGCAAGCCTTCCCTAGCTCCTAATAGCAGCAACAATGGCAATCAAAAAGACTTGATCATACAAGTCTTGCCAACATGCCAACTTCACCATGGCATGTTTCACTAAGTCAAACACACACATGATAATGATGATGATGATGATGATGATGATGATGATGTTTTAGCTTAAACAAAGCCAAGACAGGCAGTTCCCCCTGCCTTTGGGCAGGTAAAAAGGAAAGAAAGGAAAGGTTTCTTCCAGGGGAAAGGAGGAAAACAGGCACAAGCTCTGGCTGCAGTACATGTTAGCCTATAGGCACGAAATATTTGCAAGGAGTGCCAGGGGCATAGGAAGGGGGTGCGGGCTGCCCCAGGTTTAATCCTGAAGGGGGGTGACTTTCGGCGCGCACCCCCCACCTGTGACTCCCCCAAGCCCAGCAAGCGGGCAAAGTGGTGAAGCAGCTGCTGCGGCTCTCCCCCTTCCCCCAGCTCACTGTAGGCTTGGAAGTCACGGGGGGACACGCTGAATGTCAACCCCCTTCAGCCTTAAGAGGGGTGACATTCAGCGCCCCTCACACCGAGATCGGCCCCCGGGGAGGATCGCCCCGCCCCAGGTGTACAGCATGTGTGCTGTTCCGGGTGCTGGAGCACCCAGCTCCGCCACTGAGGAGTGCATGTCTCCTTTCTCATACAACCACACACACACTTCAGGTTATGTGCTATCTGAGTGAAGAGGAACAGGTGGCACATTTTCAGCACTCTGTCTCCTAGTCCGTTCACTATACACAATCTGGAGATAAAATATACTTTTCTTTCAACAATTATGAAGGCCTACTTCAGTCTGAAATCTCTTGGAGAACTAGATAATGTTAAGAAACTAGGGTTGACAAAGTTGAGATGTTTTAAGGAAATTCACCAAAATCTACACTTCCAACATAGGCTGCCATACAGATAGATTTTCACAGACATTTCAGCGATTTTTGCTCGGACACTGTTTCCGATGGCCGAATCCCAGCTGTGTCCAGGAAAGTCCAGGCGTTTGGCAACCCTTTCAGAAACTATTACAACCACACGAAGCTGTCCTACATGCTCTATTCACACTTAGACAGAAGTGTCAAAATGCAGTTTGTCAACACATTTTTTCTAAGCAAACATTTGTTAATGTCATACAGTAGAAATAACATTCTTATAGCCTTAGAGAGCTATGCAACCATGTGTGAACATGTTCAGAAAGGTGATTAGGTTACCTACAAATGCAGCACCCCTATAAACCAAACAGAAAAATATTTAAGAGAGAACAATTTCCAGTAGCTTGCTGAGTCGATACATCAGAAGGAAAAATATCCTATACACCTTGGGGGAAATTCCGTATCTAAAACCTAACATTGATTGACTGACTCTCCATTGGCATGCTTATGGCAGCTAATAAATCACCATGGCAGCTAATAAATAATGACAACAAACAAATAAATAAGAAATTATAGCAGTTGGTCTTGCCGGAGCAGTACATGCAATTTCTAACATTCTCCTGAGTTTCTTATTTCTTACTGCATTTGCATAATATGACTTGGGTAAGAGGATTGTCTATTTAATGGTACAATTATCATTAATAAACTTATTGATTTATGTACCACTTAATGCCAAAATAGGCTCCTAAGCAGTTCACAAAATATAAAAACCAGTTGCACAAACATTATAAATATGTTGACTGAAGAGCCGAGTCCTCTTTTGTAAATAAATCCAAAAATCCTGTAACATTTGGATATTTAAAATAAATACCTATATGTGTATGTACTGTATACTTTGGGTCTGGTTACACAAAGAATGCTGTTCATTTTTGATAATACACCTCTGAAAGTTATTGGATGTGACAAAATTCCTTCATAAAGTAGTACATATGACAACACTTTGTAAAACTTTTATAAAATGGCTGATTTGAAGTAATGGGAGGCAGATATTTTCTACCATTCCATTTAATCAGCGACACATTGAAAAGAAAACATGGCATCCCTTGAAAAACATTATGTTCAAAAATATTAAAATCTCCAAGTACTATAATTGTTTGAATTTTCCATGCAACACTCAATGCCCACTGCATAGCAGTCAATTGCCTATTTCTTTTATGCAAAAATTGCCATGATTTATTGTTGTCATTCATACTGTATTTATAAATACATGTTGCATACGTGCACATGTGTGTACATGCACACAGGGGCACCCACCCACCCAGTTTATGTCGTAGGTGGGAACCTGTGGTTCTCTTTTTGTTGTTGGGTAACAATTCCCATCAGTCTCATCCCCAGCCAGCGTAACCAATGACGATCATAGAAATTGGGAGTCCAATGACATTTGAAGAACCAGTTTCCTACCGATAGTATATGCAGTGTAACCATTCTTAGTGACCATAACAAGTGCAATCAACAATAGTGCAATTCTTCTTCTTCTTCAGCAATCACTCGTAGCCAAGTAAGATTGTCTTCCATAAACACGGTTTTAACAATGAGTCCGTAAGTAACTGTGGAGGCCAACAGAAGCAGCTTATTGTGTAATCTTTAAATTTTCTTTATAACCACAACATCATGAATAACTTTATTTT